GCCATTTCTTTCATTAGTAACTTGCTTAGATTTTGAGGTGAATGTTTCACAGCTGTGTTCTATATAACATTTGAAAAAATTACATATGATATAAAATATTCCTCTGATTGAAAAGTAGACCCTATTTTAGCCTTAGAAAATTTTATATTATAAATCTATATTTTAAACCAAAATCTTTCTTTCCTTACATCTCACTCATCAAATCTATAGTCATCACTGTCCAATAAGGACTTTTGAGCAGCTACATATCTTCTGAGAGACTCCTCCACCTCCTTGGAAGCAGGCAATCTATAATTGAAGCATTTCAAGGAAGGCAATATTAAAAACATTTAAATACATATTAAATACATTTAAGTATCCATGGTCCATACATTCTTATGGCCTTTGGTTAGAAGTCTTAGATTTATCCACTGATGCTATAACCTCAGCAGAGCATGACTAAAAATACAGATTTTGTATTTTGGTCTCTCCACCTACAGTCATAGAATGTATAACTTAATTGCCTAGATACTTAAGCAGATCTCCCTGGTCAAACCAATAATGTTCAAACATAATGAAAAGGAAAAATGGTTATTCCATGTAATTCTACATAATTATAAAAAAGAATTAAGTACACTCAACAGCGCTAAAAATGAAAACACTGAAGGATGCATTCCGCTCTTTCTTTTGACCCAACACCTTGAGAGCAGGTTGATGACACCTGTTTAAAGCTGAGCCCAGATAAGAGGTAATTCACCCATGTTGCGAATTGATCTAAACTTGCCATGAGACTGCATTTATTTTCACCCAGTACCAAGCAATCTTCTTAGGTATTTCTAAGTTACTTTGTACAGAAATAATTCTTACATGTTAAAAGCATAATAAATTGCCTACGGTCTTAAAGTGTGAAGATTACATATAACACTTATATTGATAACAAAATGCCTTTTATTTTAAAATAAGGTCTTCCTGACCAACGACTTAAATTGTATCTAAATTGTGGCCTTTACTCAATTTTTACATGAACAAGTCAATAAAACTCAAAACTAAATATGTCTAATATGTGTTATCTAGGCCATTAGAGCATTGGGAAAGCAAAGGACTGTTTTGTCTTTTACAGGGATGTTGTAAAACCAGATTCTATTTAAAGATAGGAAACAGAATGGTTATGTGGACCATATATAAGTATTACTATATCTACAAAGGATGAACCAGGCTCTAAGGATTTTAGAAAGTATCCCCAAACCAGTAAGTGGCAGAGCAAGAGCTCTTGTCTAGATTTTCTTTTCAAAATTTTGAATTCTTTTTATCACACATATTGCCTCTCTTAGTTGGAGTGAGTCGCTTTCAAGATTGGGGAGAAAAACAAGAGAATAACAATAGGAGAAATACTATTTAAGATAGTCTAAGAACTTTAGAAAAAGATACAGATTATAAAAAATTCTGTTGTGGATGGCTTTCACCTTCTCAATCAAAATCTGAGTGTTCACTGTAGGCCAGGCGAATGAGATACAAAAATGAACAGAAAAAGCCTTTGACCTAGCCTTTGAAGGAGCACATTATAAAACAGATACCTTCAGAGACAATTATAATAAAATATTACACAGGCAATAACACAAGACATGCAGAGGATGTTACCTGTGGAAGCAGGAGAAAGGGCGCCAACTTTGGGTAGCCGAAGTCAGCAAAGCAGTTATTTGATCAACAAACATGTCAGGCACTGTGCGGAAAACTGGGCACAACGGTAAATAAACCAGACCGGATGGCGGCTCTCAAAGAGCTTGCATTATAGTGGGAAAAGAGACAGCAAACAAACCAGGTCATCCCATGTAGTATGGGATGCTATAACGGCAATGAAATAGAGCAATGCACAGAGAAGACTGGCCCACTACTTTAAATTGGAACGTCAAAGAAGAACTCCCAGGAGACAATGAAAAACACCTGAGAAGTCAGGGGTCTATGACACTTGAAATCGTTATTACTTAATCTTTGGGGCAAAATAAGTAAGTTTTTAAAACTAAGCACCTTTATTCCACATACAGTTTACCTTCAGGCTATAGCGTATGTTTGCCATAGCTCAAAATCTCTTGATTCAATTTTCATCCTTTCCCATTTTAAAAAATAAAGATGCAAGAGCCCTGGTTCTGGCAATAACCAGAGCGGCTCTCCGCAGAGGCCGGTCCGGGGCGGCGGCGGCGTGCCGACCGCCCCGAGGGCCGTGCTCAGCGGGCCAGCTCTCCTGGAGCGCGGGGTCCCCTGAGGCCGCGGTGCACCTGGAGAGGCCAGAGCCAGGACCAGGGGCCAAGCGGGGGCCCGCGCCGCCTTCGGGGCTGCAGCCCGCGCCTCCGCCCCGAGCTCATAACGCAGCATCCTAAGACACAGCTATTGCCAATTCCCATCACTCGCGACCAGAGTCCTTCTTTCCAGGTCCTCGCAGACCCCGTGGCACGTGCCTGACGTGTGTCGTCAGCACGTTACGCACGGGGCGGCGCGACGCGGGGGAGCCTGAGACAGACGCCCAGCTCCAGGCACAGCTGAGTCACGTGAGTTAGCAGGTCCTGTGATGCTCGGGGCTTCTCCAGCCATCCCCAGCCGCACTCTCCACTCCTGTCGCCGATTGTGGCGAAGGCACCGTGGGGGCAGGGGGCCGGGGAGGGGCTGTCTCTTCAACTGACCCCCCAACTCTGGACCCCCTTAGAGCCCTGGCGCCTGAGGCTTAAATGCCACTCCGAGAACCGCACTCCTGCCTAAGAGCGGAGACCCTCAGGCCACAGGGGTTTGGAGCTTTGCCTGTGGAGAAGAGCACATAGTGCAGAATGTGGCTGATTTATTTGTGGTGAAAACAAAGGCTCAAGGGACAGGAGCCTGGGATGCATCATTTTGAAGAAAATGGATGATGGTTTTAGGGAGAAAGCCTAAGAATAGTAACAGAAAGCTGAAGCATTTAATCCTAAAAGCTAACACTTTTTAATTTTTGTCAACCCAGTATCCCTTAATTTTCAGAGGTTTCTTCACCCCTCAATCCCCCTCCTCCCAAAGTATCAAGTTCCTCTTAAGTCACACCAGGAATAATTTTGGAAAATATCAAAAGTGATGTAGTATGATGTGCTGTGAGTAAGGGACCCCAGGATTAGAAGTCAGGAGACTCTAGGATGTTAATACCAGGCTTGATCTGACCACCTGTAGAAGTTCCAGTCACTTAATCTCTTGGCTCAAATTTATTTATTTATTTTTATTTAATTTTTAAAATTTTTTGTTGTATTATTATTATTTTTTTTTTTTTGAGGAAGATTAGCCCTGAGCTAACTACTGCCAGTCCTCCTCTTTTTTTGCTGAGGAAGCCTGGCCCTGAGCTAACATCCTTGCCCATCTTCCTCTACTTTATATGTGGGACGCCTACCACAGCGTGGTGTGCCAAGCAGTGCCATGTCCCCACCCAGGATTGGCACCTGCGAACCCCAGGCCACCTGGAAGCGCGAACTTAACCCCTGCGCCACTGGGCCAGCCCCTTGGCTCAAAGTTATTAATCAGTAGAGTGAGGGAGTTGAAATAGAGATCTACAAGATTTTGTCTGACCTTAGCAGTTGTCCTACATTATCACAGATAGTTGGTGCATATTTTTGTAGCTGTGATTTCCCCGAATCAAATAAAAGATTAAGGCATTTAGTATGGGGAAATCAAGGAGGTACCTAGAGCATATTGACAGGGAAAAAAAAATAGAAAAATTCTTAGTCAAAGCCAAATCTCTAAAATTTAGCTCCTTAAGCCATTCGGTTTTAAAAATTTAATGAACGAATATAATTCCAAATTGGCCCTTCTCGGTTTGTATAAAGAATACAGGCTGTTGCTAAAATTGTTCAATTGTAACGAAGAGTAGGAAGACACATTTAGATCTCCTTGTTCCTTAGATCTTGCAACTTTTCTTTTGTTACCAGCCAAAGTTTTCTCTTCCAGTGTTGTCTCAGCTTTCTTACTTCCTACTTAGATTAACCCTTTGCATTCTGGTCTTGTGGGGGATTTTCTTTATAAAGTCTCTATCACCAAATCTAAGCCTTTTCTCAGTCTTCATCTTTTTCAAGCTTTATAATATCTGATGTTATTAATCGCTCATACTTCTTAAGATAGCCTTTTTTTCTTTCTTAAGTTAATTTCCTATTTTATTTCCCTAGCTGTTCTCTATGTCTTCTCTTTCTTCTTCCTGTCCTTTCTTCTCCACACTCCAGTCTTATACTTTATCCTTTTTATCATTAAACTCTGTTCCATGGCAATCACCTCTGAACCTTGGCTTAAATTATTATTTCTTGGTAGAAACTTCATAAATCTCTAGCTCTGATACTATCCTTTGTCCATAGTTTTCCAAATACTTGCTGAGCAAATAATAATAAATTATTGAATACTGACAGTCTAAGCACATAATATATTGAATAAATATTATTAAAACATTTAAAATGAAGTAACCTCAGATATGTGATAAATATACAGTATATACAGTACATATGTCTTGATACCATACCTCCTGTATATGTAAATGTGACAAAGGCTACTATATTTCAATATGCATTTGTGTATCTTATAGTGCAATTATAAATACTGTTTTGGGGGGAACAAGAGTTTATAGTTATGAATAATGATAATAATAAGACCTGTATTATCAACTCCTGAATAATACCCTGCATCTTTACCATGTGGAAAGTGAATATTTGTATCATTAGAACAGCAGTTCTCAAGCTTTTTGTTCTCAAAATGTGTTATGCTCTTACAAATTATTGAGGACTCCATATAGCTTTTGTTTATGTGTTATATCTATTGATAATGCCTTATTAGAAATTACTACTGAGAAATTTATAAAATATTTATTAATTCATATGGTAGGCAGCCTCTAAGATGGTCCCCAATGGTTCCTACCTCCTGGTATTCATGCCCTTGTGTAATCCCCTCCCCTTGAGTGTGGGCTGGATTTATCAACTCTTTTAAAAAAATATAATACAGCCAAAATGATGGGGTGTCAGTTCCACGATTAGGTTACAAAAGGACTGTGGCTTCTGTCTTGCTTGCCCTCTCTTTCTCTTTCTCTCAATCTCTCTCTCTGAGGAAACTCAGCTGCTATGTTGTGAGTTGTCCTGTGGAGAGACCCATGTGACAAGGAACTGATGTCTCTGGGCAACAGCAGTGAGGAACTGGGTTCTGTCAACATCCACATAAGTGAACTGAGAAGCAGATTCCCTTCCCCCGCAGTCAGGCCATAAGGTGACTGTGGCCGTGCTGACACCTTAATTACAGCTCTGTGAGAGAGCCTGAGCCAGAGCTACCCAACTGAGCTGCACCTGGATTCCTGACCTACAGAAATGGTGAGATAATAAACATTTAGTATTTTAAGCTGCTAAATTTTGGGGTAATTTGTTACACAGGAAAATATAACTAATACAATTCATTTAAAAATAACAATCCTAACTTCTTCTATGAAAAATAACTATAGTTTCCAAAATGAAAAATGTAGTGAGATGCGTGGTATTGTTTTCGTTTGCAGATCTCTCTAATGTCTAGTTTCATAGAAGACATCTAGTTTCTCATCTCTTCTTCTGAATTTAATCTGTTGCAGTACATTGTTTTGGTTAAAACACATGTGGAAAATCCAGCCTTACACAGATATATAGTTGTAAAAGGAAGGAGTATCTTAATAGTCTTTCCAGATAATTGTGGATATTCTTCTTTGATCCTACACCAGCATTCAACAAGTGGTAGTTTCTTAAAGGTTAGTTGCAATGTAGAAACCATATACTCTGTTGCGTTAAAATTGATCAGTCTGTCTTGCACTTTGAATGAATCTTTTATTAATGCATCATGCATTGATCATTTGGATAATATTGGTTCTCTGAGATATGGAGATGTTCCACTGACACGTTTCATTATACAGCAACCTCCCTGCACCCCCCCCCCAAACCCTTTTGTTTAAAAAACACTTTGATATTAATCACCACTGCTCTTATCAGAAAAGTCTTTAAATTTTAGGAAGCTGTTGTACTAGTTATCTAATATTGCATAGCAAATTACCCCAAACTTAGTAACTTTAAACAACAAATTTTTATTATCTCACAGTTTCTTTGGGGCAGGAATCCGGGAGTGGCTTAGCTGGGTGGTTCTGGCTCAGTATCTTTCAAGAGCTTGCAGTGAAGGTGTTGGCATTTTAAGGTTCAACTGAGAGACAAGTCTACTTCTAAACTCACTCGTGTGCTGTTTGCAGGCTCCAGAAGATCCACTTCCAAGTTCACTCACCTGGTTGATTGCAAGCCTCAGTTCCTTGCCATGTGGGCCTCTCCATAGGCTGCTCAAGTGTCCTCCTGATGAGGCAGCTGGCTTCCCTCTCCCAGGGCTACCTCACAACCTGGCAGCTTGTCCCATAGTGAGTGGTTCAAAAGAGAGAGGGAGAGAAAGAGAACAAGAAAGCCCACCCAAGACAGAGCCACAGTTATTTTATAACCTAATCTCAATATGACAGCTCATCACTTCAGCCATATTCTATTTGCTAGAAATGGCCCAGCCAACAGTCAAGGGGAGGGAAACTAAGCCCTACCTCTTGAGAGGAGCTGGATCAAAGCATGTGGAGATGCCGCTACAAAACCAACATAAGTTGTCAAGCTCCTGGTGCCAGATGCAAGTTTTCCCAAATTCTATTTTTTTGCTTTAAAGCTCAAAGTCATCATTGACAATAAACACTGTCAGTTGTTTTCCTTGAAGTGACAGGCTTACTTCTTTCATTTTTGAGAAAATGTCTTGCTAAACATTCAACTCTGTACAACTGTGGTTTCTCTGTCAGCCATTCTTTTAAGTGAAAATGATAAGAAAAGCAGCAGGTTCAGCTCAAACAAGCATACTATTGCTTTTCCTTGGGGCAATCATGGATATTTCAGAATGCAGCAGAAGGGTTTTAGCATACTTCCTATTAAATCACACAGAATATTAAAATGGTGTATACTCAAGGGTCAATATTCAATCAAATTATCATTTTTACTGCTTCACCCAGGATATTCTTAAGTAAAATTGACTTTTTTTGGGAGGGATAGACTAGACTGCTCAGAATTTGACACTGGGAAAATCACTGTAAGAGGGGGTAAATCAGAAAAAGCTTTGTGGGAAAAAGTGTATCTTGAGATTGGCTGGGAATTACATTTAGACTGGCAGAGAGGAGGAAATGTGGGAGAGGAAAACAAGCAAAAACAGTGGGGCTGGAATGAAATGAGCCTGTTATGTTCAAGAATAAAGAGAGGGAGGGGCCAGCTCCGTGGCCGAGTGATTAAGTTCGTGCGCTCCACTGCAGCGGCCCAGGGTTCGGATCCTGGGCGCAGACATGGCACTGCTCGTCAGGCCACGCTGAGGTGGTGTCCCACATCCCGCAAGTGGAAGGACCTGCAACTAAGATATACAACTATGTACTGGGGGTGCTTGGGGAGATAAAGCAGAAAAAAAAAAAAGATTGGCAACAGTTGTTAGCTCAGGTGCCAATCTTTAAAAAAAAAAAAAAGAATAAAGAGAGGGAAAGCTAAGCTGGGAGCAAGCTGTGGACTTGATATGGACACACGTGAAGGGAACCAACCCGATATCCTCACAAAATAGACCCCACGTGAAGGGGCAGTGTAAGACGAGGACTACTAGGAGTCCAAGGGCTTCTCAGGAATGTTATCCAGCCAGAAATGCAGTGGGAGGCTCCCAGCAGGGTTCTATGAGACTGTCACCTTTGACTATTTGCCACTCCTCAGGGCACCAATGCAAGTCACAACTATACAGTTAAGTAAGAGCTTTCCCCCATTTGACCTTTTCTCCTTCCTTCTTGCAGCTTTGAAAAGACCAAAAGGAGCAGCTGATGAGGGAGAAGGGGTGCTGAGAAGAGGAAAAGCAGCTGACCACAACTCCTTCTCTTCTCCACTGTAGACTTTCAAGCCTGGGGCAAAACTCCACTGGGAGAGGGAAGAAGTTTTAAACGGAGCGAGATTACAGTTTGGATTAGTACACTCTGGATTGGACTTTCATTACTAAAAAGAGACTATTCATTTATTACCTGAGAGCAAGCACAAAACTGTAAAATCTCCCTGAGATCTCAAGGGAATGGGGATGGAGCACCACGAGATGACCAAGTTAACAGTGCAAGTTTGAAGGCAGTGGGAGAAAAGAGAGAGTTGCTTTCAGCATGTGCCCTACTGAGTTCAACTCCTTTAATGAAGTGGCTACAATGAGTCTTCCCTGAACACATTTTTGCCAGGCTTAGGTTCTGCTGGCCATGTTTAAATGGATGCACAAGATGTATGCATATTTAGGAGAATGATGTTTTCAGGGTGATTGGAGCCAGGCTAACCTGAGTTCATATCTTAGCTCTGCTACTTAAAAAATGTGACACATTGTTAATCTCTTGGCCTCTGAGCTTCCTCATCTATAAAATGAAGACAAATGATGTCTACCTCACAATGTTGTACTAAAGAGGAAGTAAGATAATATGTGTACAGTAACACAGTGTCTGGTACGTAGTGGGCACTCAATAAATGGTAGCAATGATTATGATCATCATGATCTTAGTGTCTCGACCTGACAAAAATGGTAGTTCAGAAAAATTTACCAAGCATTAGCATGCAAGATAGATTGAAGATGAATCAAGACTAGGAGCAGGGAGAAAAATTAGAAACATTGAGTAATAAAATGAGGCTAAAGTGGTAGCCACAGGGATGAAATAGAGGTGAAGGGACAAATTATAAGGAATATTTGAGAGGAAAATGAACAGAAGAGATAACTTCTTAGATAGAAACTGGTAAATAAAGGAGGATGAAGAGTCAAAGGCAGCTTAAATTTTTAAAGCTTGTTTGGATGGGAGAATAGTAGAAAAGGGAGAAATACAGACATTGGCAGAATGAGCATGTTGGGTGGGTAGGAATGGTGGGGAGAAAATAGTTTTGTTTTGCTACAATTCAAATGTAGGTGATGGCGGGACTTCCAAGTGCAAATATCCTATAGATATTTGGAAAGTCATTTATTTAATCATTCAACAAATATTTCTTGAGAGCCTACTTGGTGTCAGACACCATGCTAGACTCTAGTGAGAACAATCTAGTAAAGAGTTGGAGTTTAAATGGGACATCTGGGCCAGACAGAAAGATCTGGGGCCTTCAGCAAGGAATGGGTTCCTGAAACCATACATATTAGTCAGTTTTCTAATGGAGAGTGTGAAGAAGAGACAATTTCTGAGAATATTCAGTCAGAGGGACACAAGAAGTGGACAAATGGGGGAGAACTAAACCAGAATCACATATTGTAATTATTTTTATATTAAATTCTGACCATTTAATTATGACAAAAAAGCAGTTTCGTAGTAGCTGTTCATATTTTTTAAACTTTTTATTTTGGAATAATTATAGATTCACAGGAAGTGGCAAAAATATTAGAGCGGTCCCACTACCCTTCAGCCAGTTTCTCCCAGTGGCTACATCTTACATAACTATAGGACAATAGGACAACCAGGAAACTGACATTGGCATAATCCACGGACTTTATTCAGATTTCACTAGTTTTATGTGCACTCATTTGTGTGTATAATTCTGTGCCATGTTATCACATGTATGGATTCATGTAATCTTTCCTCTTTAATTATTAAAACTTTTTCTTTTTTCTCACTCCAGTTACTAACGTGACGTGAAGAATCTACACCACAGAAATTTTTTTTAAGTATTTTTTGTAGTTTACTGATACCTCCTAATGTTCAAACAACCAAATATAGCAAAGGTCCTAAAGATTTTTAAAATATTTAATTAGCAAGGACCTTGTATATGTTTTACTCTATTGACTATATTAAGCCAGAGAATATTCTGAGACCTTTAGCCAGTCACTCATTGTTCCTCACATTTTTTATCAGTAAAATATGTTATGATTTCTAAAGTCCTTTATAACCCCGCAGTTCTACAATTTTAGAATTCTAATTACTAGGTCTCTTGATGAAAAACAGAAACTTGTGATTACTACGATAAGTCTTGTGAGTCAGGGTCATTCTCTTCCTTATCAGGCCAGTGGCCAGGGGCACCGTTAATCACTGTGTTACTGTAGTAAATAACGCCCTGTTAGCCTGAAAGATTTTCACATATCTTCCAGGGGTGGCTGCTTCCTCTGAAGGGCTTGCATGCATTAGGTAATGGGAGAATAAACTAATAATTGTTCTAACAAAAATAACATATCCTTTGAATGAAAATATTTATCACTCTATTATTTTTAATAACAATTTAACTAAAATATCATGAACTATTTCTATTTTGGCAACACACAGCGTATTAGCATTGAGCTTCATTCCTCCTTTTTTTTTTTTTCTGAAGATTGGCACCTGAGCTAACAACTGTTGCCAATCTTTTTTTTTTTTTTTCCTGCTTTATCTTCCCAACCCCCCCCCCCGTACATGGTTGTATATCTTAGTTGCAGGTCCTTCTAGTTGTGGGTTGTTGTGGGATGCCGCCTCAACGTGGCCTGACGAGTGGTGCCATGTCCGTGCCCAGGATCTGAACCCTGGGCCGCCGTAGCGGAGCGCGAGAACTTAACCACTCGGCCATGGAGCCGGCCCCCCATTCCTCCTTAATTAAATCAAAATTTGTGATGCTCTGACCTGGGCCAGATAAGGGGGAAGCTTCTTCTATTGAGGAAGAAAATAATATTAGGTCAATTGCCAAGAAAATTAGTATTTAGAAACTGGATCCTCCCTCCCCCCAAAAAAGATCTGTAATTAATTTCATGAAAGTAGTAAAAGCTTTTGTGCTTGCACAAAAGTGTTAGGAGAACATCCATGTGAGTAACATCAGTATTAAAGTAAATATCTGTAGGCTGAATAAACACCACTTTGTAAAAGTGGCCATGAGATGTAGACTTTGTACAATAGTCACACTGGAAAGCTTGACAGACTTCCTGTGTTCTACATATTGATGGCAACACACAGAAATAGTAAACTTAGGTTTCTAATTCAGTAATGTTCTAGAAAAAAAAACAGTGGACTAAATCACTTCCTGATGTTCCCCTTACTGAACTAAAGTTAATGGAGTATATTTAAATCTTGAAAGGATTGTTCAGTAGCTTGTTCCGTTTCAAACTGTGCTAGTGGTTCCATTTCATGACACCGAGATTCTCTCAAGGGAAAACTTAAGAACACAAAGTACTTGCTTTTAGTCAACAGAGTCGGTAGAGAAAAAAAACCTTCTCTCCAAGAAGTATAAAACATGACACAGTAAAACTCGTGTTTAAAAATAATTATGGCAAAAACAAAACAGAATATACGTATTATGTTATCTTCAAATTTTTGGAACCTGAGCCCAATCTGGGGCTCCAGATCTAGTTTGTTCTCATATTTAAGAATAAGTATCCACTTTGGAAATATCCATGAAGGAATGGAATAGCACACAGAGACCATCTGCTGAGCGCTACTGGGCACTAAGTCAGGAAGGGAGGCCTGAATATGCCCTGAGGCGTTAAGTGATTTTCCCCTGTCACACAGCTGCTGAGGAGCAGAAATGAGGCAAGAACCAAGTCTGTCTGACTTAGAATTTACTACTCTTAGGCATGCTCTATGCTGATATCCACAAGTCCTTCCTGTATCTTTATTTAAATAGAGCGGAACCTCTACGGAGGAGCATTCAGTATTTTGCTCCTATATATTGCATTCACTTCATTTATTTTCACAATAAAGCACAATTTGTATTAAATCAGATGACTTTTTAATTAAATTAAACTATATGTTTGAATGTTATTTTCTATTATTTTGGAAAAGGAAGATTAAAATTAAGTACAGATGGGGGAAAAGCATTTGTAATGTATATAACAAAGGACTAAAATCTTCATTTCATATGGAATTCATAATTAAATATGTAAAAATACCAAAAGGAAAAAATGCTGGCAAAGACAATCACAAAGCATTCCTCCGTTTACTTAACAGAAGCTTTCTGAATGCTGTCCATAGACCCTGCACTGTGCTATGTGTTAGGGATAGAATGAACAAATCTTTATTGATGTTGTGCCATATTGCTAAAAATGCTTTAACTAGGATAATTCCATTTTGCAAAAATATGTAAGTATATATATATATATATATATATATATATATATATATATATATAAATATCTGGAAGGATATATATCAAGCAGTTATCAATGAATGGTCAGATTTGTTTACTTGAAACAGAAAATAATGAACATGCATTTCTTTTTGTAATAAAGTTTTATAAAATAAAGTTTAAAACTTTGGACTTAAAATTGTTCAAGTATTTCACCTATCGTCCAGGGTTTTCTGGTAATAAAAATATATTTCTCTTTTCTTATCCAATGGAAGATGGATTCCATTAGAAATGGGTTCCTTTCTTTCTGTTATACCACTATACCACCTCCTGGATCCTGCCCCCAAGACACAATAGATATGCAAACACTGACAGACAGACATGCACATAGAGACACAAACACATAGACACAGGACAGTCTCCCCTACAGTAGACACTCACACACACTCCCCACAGAAACACACACAGAGATTCACAGTCTCATTAAAACTGACTTCCTTGTAAGTGAAAGAGTTTGCCGAGATCTGATGGTTTTAATCTTGGAAATAGCTTTCATTATTCTCTAGTTTTTTTTCATTTGCAACCCCTGGATGCAATATTTTTCATGCTTGCATATTATCAAATGGATACTTTTTTTTTTTAGTGGAAAAGTAGCTCTCTGATTGACCCCTTTTTGGGGTTTTGCTTTTGTGCCTAAATCATCTATTCTATTTTTTTCTGAGTACTAGACTATCTTGGGACATGTGACAGATGCATGGCTGTAGCAGCTGCTAGTCTAAGGAGATGGCAAACAGCTTTGGAGAATCCAAACAGATTAATATGGAACAGTTGATAGGAGACAGTAATTTTTTTCACTTAATTTAAAAAATTGTTTTGTCTAGACTCATATGTATATAATGTTAAATGTTGTTAATCTATAAGAAATAATTTTCAATAAAATATGGGTATCCATTAATTAATAAAGTGAAGCATACATTAGAGAGATAAAACAAGCCCCCACAATACATCCCACATAAATATATATTATTAAATTATTTCACTCATGAAATACAATAATTTCATGTTAGTAGCATGTCAATTACTTTTTTTTTTTCAGTGAGGAAGATTGGCCCTGAGCTAACATTTGTTACCAATCCTCCTCTATTTTGTATGTGGGATGCTGCCACAGCATGGCTCAATGAGTGGTGCAGGTCCATGCCCAGCATATGAATCTGCAAATCCCAGGCTGCCAAAGCAGAGCGCATGAACTTAACCACTCTGCCGTGGGCTGGTCCCGGTGACTATTGTTAAAAACATATTAATGGTTTAGCCACAATGAAAAGTCCTCTGATTCTCAACTTTTTCAGTTATACAACTATGTACAGAGCTAGTGATTAAAATTTTCTTTAAAAGTACAATAAAGTTTAGTTCATAATGTTTATGAAGTATATTTCCTAAATATAATTTTGTAAAAAGAAAACTGAGTATTTGTGGAGAGCCTGCTTTAAACCCAACACTACATTTATTTGAATGATGATAGGTGAGACTGAATTTCACTGTAATCTAATAGTTATCCAATTTTTTACCTCAGTACAAGAAGCCTTTTCATTTTTTTTAACTTTTTTTTTTAAAGATTGACACCTGAGCTGACATCGTTGCCAATCTTTTTTTTCCCTCCTTCTTCTTCTCCCCAAAGCCTCCCGGTACATAGTTGTATATTCTAATTGTGAGTGCCTCTGGTTGTGGCATGCGGGATGCTGCCTCAATGTGGCCTGACGAGCGGTGGCCATGTCCACGCCCAGGATCCAAACCGGTGAAACCCTGGGCCGCCGAAGCAGAGGGCACGAACTTAACCACTCCGCCACGTGGCTGGCCCCTAAGCTTTTTCATTTTAAATGATTTTTTATAGCTAATAACTGTCAAGAAACACACAAACATTGGGGCTGGCCCGGTGGCCGAGTGGTTAAGTTCGCGCGCTCCGCTGCAGGCGGCCCAGTGTTTCGTCGGTTCGAATCCTGGGCGCGGACATGGCACTGCTTGTCAGGCCACGCTGAGGCAGCGTCCCACATGCCACAACTAGAGGAACCCACAACGAAGAATACACAACTATGTACCGGGGGGCTTTGGGGAGAAAAAGGAAAAAATAAAAAAAAATCTTTAAAAAAAAAAAAAAGAAACACACAAACATTAACTGAAATCTCAAACAACACAAGAGTACTATATTTCTATTGTTTGTCCATGGTTTCTAATTCAAATGTAAATAGCTTAAGATTTCCATTATTCAGAAACCTTCCCAGATTTTCTTTTTTGATGAATCAGAAGGATTCGTCTATCTCCTTACTTTCCTACTTCTGTAAGGAAAGCTAGAGAGGCACAGAAGGAGAAAAGGAGGAAAGACGACATGTTTCCTATCGCGTCTGGGGGTCCTGGATTCCTGAAGCTCACCCGTTTGACCTCCTCCCACCCCCAGCGACAACAAAAGAATCCATTCCCCAGACCTTCTTTTAGACTGGTGACTAACAAATCCTTTGATGGTCCGTTTGGTTCCTTTAGTCCACGAAGTCTTCCAGAGTCAAGAGTGAACTCGGTTCCCTCCTAGAGGAGCTGCTCCACAGGT